CCTACAGTGTAGCATAGTGGAAAGAGCTTGGAGTCTGGAAACCTGGATTCCAGACACAGGCCTAGCACTTCCCAAGATATTGGACCTTGGGTCATACACCTCATCTCTCTTGTTTCAATTCAACAAACTTTTTTAGACTCCTTCACTTTTGTCTTTGTAATCCCAGCAACGAGTACAGTGTTTGTTACGTAGCAGACGTTCAATAAAAGAGTATCTGCTTGCTATTTGTCCTTTGTTCTTGCAGAGGACCCAGACATCAGGGAGGTGATGTCATGACATACAAAGGAGTTGGATTTAAGTGAGGGAGGGCTGTGCTCACTTTCTCCTCCAGAGCCATCAGAGTCAAGTGGTGAGTTACAGATCAGGGTGACTGGAAATGGCCCAGGATGCAGTGGGGACCTTGGCATTTTCAAGCTAAGGTCTTTAACAGGTCTCAAAAGCTTATTTAATGATCTATTCATATATATATATATATATATGTATATGTATGTATGTACATATATATATTGTGTGTATGTGTGTGTGTGTGTGTGTGTGTGTATAGTCATTGAACTGGAAATTAAAAAATTAAAAAGTCTTTGTTCCCAAGGAATATAAAGCTTATCTCAGGGTGTTTGTGGGGTGTGTGTGTGTGTGTGTGTGTGTGTGTGTGTGTGTGTGTATAGTCATTGAACTGGAAATTAAAAAATTAAAAAGTCTTTGTTCCCAAGGAATATAAAGCTTATCTCAGGGTCTTTGTGGGGTGTGTGTGTGTGTGTGTGTGTGTGTGTGTGTGTGTGTGTGTGTGTTTACTGGATCTGTGATTTTATTAGTATGGAGATTTCCCATGAAGAACTTTCCTTTTAACGCGAGGTAGCACCTGCTCAGCAGTTGAGGCTTACCTGGAACCAGTAAGGCAGAGTCAGGATTCCAGGAGCAATTCTGTATCTACCATACTAGGCTGCCTGTCTTCCAGGGTTGATGTAAGGATCAAATGAGATAAGGAATATGTAATCACTCTGTCACAGTATACAAAGAGAGGTTCTAGTAAAGCATCTCTCTGTCAATGGAATTCAACAGACATTTATTAAGTGTTCAATATGTGTAAAGCACTGTAAAAAAGATCAAAGTCTTTCATGTGTGATCTTATTTTGACCCCACTAAATCCTGGTGAGATAGACTAGACATCAATGCCATTTTGCAGATAAAAGAGCCAAGACAAAGAGCCACATTCACAGAGCTAGTCAGAGGCATAGCCAAGAGTAAAGCTCATATACTTGGATTCAGGATAAGCTGGTTCTTACATTTATTGCTTATATGACTACAGGCAATCAACCTCTCTGAGTCTCAGTTGCCTCACCTATAAAATGGGGACAATAATACTTGTACCTATTTCACAGGATTATTGTGTGGATTAAAGGTGATGATGTATGTAAAGCTCTTAGAAACCATGTGAATATCATCTATTGTTATTATTATTATATCCTCATTTGCCACGCTGTCTTTCCTCTACCTATTGGTGAATTCTCAACAAAAAGTGCTCTTATTCCTTAATTTTATGGATTAATATTTGATCCATGGACTTCAAAATGACCACCACAGTGACCAAATATATGTTATAACCCCATTAACCATTCAGTTATAACTTTAGTTACGAGGATATCCCAGCTTCAATCTTCCTTTTAACCAAGCTGGTGTTTTTCTCTATCCACATCCTTCCCCATCCATTCTTCTCCCATGTTATCAGGGCTAGCTCTAAACTAAGTTCTGAAAAGGGCAAAGTTTGTCTTCATCATACTCACTCTTCCTTTTCTTTTTCATTCTTATTTCTGACCTCAGGCTGCTCATTTGCTGCTCAGTGAGCAAAGCTCCCGCCCCTACTTAGGCTGCCTAAATAGTTCTGCCTCCCTGGCCAAAACAGAATACTTCAGAAGTATATTGTCTTGTTCTCCACCACTAAGACATCCCTTCTCTCACTCCACTGTTCTCAGCTATCTGAAGGAGGGAAGCAACTTATAAACTAGATGATACTAAGGTATAAATGCCTGATAATAGCATATTGTGTTATTCCTTCTTTGATGTATTTTGATTTTAAATTACAGCTATTAAGAACTCAATGGAATGAATCTCTAATGGTATAATTTCAGACATTAATATTAGGGAACAAGAGGAACTTTTTGGTAGCTATTGAATCATACTATGGAGATCATACTCCACCTATATGGAGCTACAAGCCATGCCTTGTCTCATCTCTTTGGCTTTTCTCATGTTCTTGCCCTTCCTCAGAATATCCTTTCTCCTATTCAGCCATCTAAATCCTATATTTCCTATCTCAAGTATTTCCAAATTCTGTATTTCAATTCAAATTTCACTTCTTCTTGCATCATTATCTTTGGAGTTTGTTTTAGGATGTAGGCAGAGAAGAGTTGGGGGCTGGGAAACAGATGTAGACATACTTTAAATTTCAGGAAGCCTAGCCACATAATACCAAGCCCAGTTCGGAGCACACTGTAGAATAGATAGAGCCAGTAGGCATGTGGTAAGTCAATAAATAATTGTTGATTTCATGGTAGCATACCTAATCATGAAAATCATGTGGCCTTTTTATGTTCTTGATCTCATTGTTAAGTCAGCTTCTCAATGCCTCAGTCTACTCACTTTTAAAATGGAGATAGTAATGAGAGAGATAATATAGCTTTCCTGCCTCTGATTCATCAATCAAGTCATAACCTCTCATTGACCCCAAGCATCTCTTCAGTTGTAGGGTAATTCCTTGCGTGTGTGTGTGTGTATGTGTGTGTGTGTGTGTGTGTTGGGAGGACATGCATGCCATGGACCTTTTGGGAATCTGGTGAAGCCTGTGGACCCCTTCTCAAAATAAGGTGTATCGCTTGCATTCATAATGGAAGGAAATACTAAATGTCAGTTAAAAGTTAGTGAAAATAAAAGATGTCATTTTGTTTCCCCATACAAGTAAATGGACCCCTTGAAATCTATTCACTGACATCTTGGAGGGCACCTTGTTTTGTAAGTTACTAATAAGTTGCTAGATCAGTATCGCTGGAGGGAGATTTCACACAGGGAGTTCACTAAACCTGCAAGTCCAATCCCCTGACCTGACAAGGTTGTTGCGAGGCTCAAATGAGGAAATGTGTGTAAAGTACTTTGTAAGCTTTTAAATATGTAAATATCACTTATTACTTATGTTCTGATTGTATCTGTATCTGATATCCCCTGCTAGGGAGTAACCTTCACGAGGGCAAAGGCAAGATTACCGCCATACTCTACACGTAGTAAACATTTAATAAATTTTGAAATGAATTAAATTACAACAAATAATAGAACTTTCTAACAGGAACATGCAAATTAAACATTTGAAAATGAAACTAATTGAATCTATGAAAAATCAAAACAGGTAATATTCTGAAGCCCACACACTTCATCCTCTGAGAAAGTCTGTCTTTGGTTTCATTATTTAACTTTCATTTCTATATAGCAGAGAGGATAAATATTCTCAGGTCTTTAAGTAGAAGACAATGTCCCAAGCAATCTTCTGCATTCAGTAGGCATTTAATAAGGATTCATCAGATTGACTTGCATTATAGAAGAAAATCCTAGGACTTAATTTAGCCTAAGAAGAAACTTGAAGAATCTTGTGGGAAAGTATAGTTGCCACATCATCTTGACTCTAGAGGCATATCTGAATGGAACTCTAGGAATCAGCTCTTTGAACTTACGGCATACACCTTAGATTTGGGAGTTCTTGGGCAGAAAAAAAAAATGGAGCTACAATTTAGTGCTGGATGAATTCTATTTTGAACCATGGAAATCATTTTCTTACGACTGCATTGCAATGTGAGAGAAAAAGCAGAAGGAAGGGAGAAAACTAATACCTCTTCTAAGTGTTTTCAACTTTTAAATTACAAGAGAAGTGATCTGAAATTTCACCATGCTAAAAAGGGGGAAAAAAATGCAAATCTCAGCATTTTGCTAATTCTCAGAGTTTTTTCCTGTAGCCCTTTGCCTCCAAGTGGGTGGGGGAGGGGTAGAAGTCCTCTTTCTATATGACTGTCAGTATCACAAGAAAGAACAGCAGTAAAATCTGCCCCTTCTGTACCACCTGAGGTGTTCCACTCCTTGATCTATTCCAGGTCCTCATTTGCCTAATTACTCCTGCCATTCTGGCAGAGATTTTCCCTGCAGCCGCAGCTCTGCTCACTGCAGAGACCCTACCTGGCACACACACCAAGTTGGTGCGTCAGCATTTTAGTTAGAAATGAATGAAAAATCAATCAGTGCAGCTGCAGTGGCAGCATGCACCGCTCCAGTCTAATTTGTGCATGATTTTTCAGCCGTTCACCAAGGACTCAGTCTTTAAGATGGTAAGTGGATTTGTGATAAAAATGTGCAGCTTCTCCTCAGGCAGACACCTTTTGTCCTCTTTCCTACTTAGCTCCAGCTAACTTAACATCCTGCTTAGGGAGTGACTTAATCAGCAGTTAAGGTACATGGGAAATGTCATGCAAATATTATTCACTTGTCCTGGCTTTCTGCTTATTTCTCCATCAGGCTAGGTGCTAAATGAGCAAGTAGAGTAACCAAGTTTTTTTTTTTCAATTCCATACATACCAGATCTAGAGCAGTTAAATAAAACCCCAAAGACATAACACGATTGGATTTAAAACAGCCCTCTCTCATCACAGACCCATCCTGTTTGTTTAACTCCCTGCAACTCTCTGTTTGGAAAGCATAGCATTCTGCATTCCCAGATGTATACTTCTGCAAAGATAGAGTTAAACACCATTTGTTCTCTGGCTTCACCCACTGGGAATGGGGGTGGGGTGGGGGGCTGAAGTTGTGAAAGCTGCAGTCTTCAGCTCTCCCAGGACAGCTCCTGTAACTTTCTGAGCAGATTGGGTTAACTATTTTTATAGAGCCATTATAGGATGATAAGTTGTGCAGTGCAACCCTATAAAGGTTTCCCAATTTCACCAGCCTGTTTGTATGTGATGCCCTCACAGTGAAGAAGATTCTCGTGGCTGTCAAGATGAAGTGCATACTTTTTCTGGTGCTGATTTCTCTCTCCTGGGCTGATCATCTTACTGACAACTACACTCTGGAGCATGACAGAATTATCCATATCCAAGGTAAGAGACACATCATTTTGAATCACTTAGAAAGAGTTGAGATGCTGGCTTTGTATGGCTTGATTTTCATTTCTGCTGCATTGACTCCTCTTCCCTCTCCCCCTCCCCCTACTGGTTAGTATGTATGTGACCAAATACTGCCCTCTCCATACCCCAACCCTTCCCCATTTGGTTGTTTTAGTCCTGATAAGAAATACCGGATAATCAAAGTTATGCAGCTTAATAATATCCAAGCTACACTAAGTTGGTGCTATACTGCCTTACTTCTTAGTGTAAACTCATTGTCCAGGTAGAGAAAAGTACACGGAGTTTACTTCAGTGCATTTTATTGTGGAATAGGTATGATGCAAGAATTAAGCTCAGGAGAGCCTGCTCTCAAAGAACTGGATATAGTGCTGGCTGATTAGCCACTTCAAAAGGAGCAATGCGAACAAAAATAAAAAGCACGTAAGTTTAGATACAGAAGAAGTAGCTTACCCCAGTATAAATGGGCCCTTCTCTAAAGCTTGGGTTCACATATGCCATTCTATTGCCCCTGCATGATCCCAGTCACTTCCTTTGCATCCTCAAGCTTTTAATTGTGGCAGGATAGGAGGCTGCAGTACAATGCAGCTATTTTCTCAGTCCCAGCTTCAGATGAGGGTCATCCTGCCTGAGGAAAGTGAAGACACTTATGCAATCGGAACAAGCAGAACCAAAGAAGCTGGGGCTTCTTGCCTTTCATCTCCAGGCTGACTAAGTAAAAAAGAAGGAAAGCTAAGTTTATCCTTTTAAAAGGCGTGATAGTGTTTATTCTGGCTGTATATTTGATTCAGTTTGGGGGGACCAAAAGCAGCCAGTGCTCTGAGTTTTCAAACAGGCATAAAGCAGTAAGTTTTATCTTCAAGGTCACAAATGTAGTCTCTGAAAGCTGTGCTCCCTATGAAAGAACCAGCATTGTAAAGGTCAAATGGAAGAGTAAATGTAGCTGAAAGTATCTGCTCTAACTTGGGAGCTGTATGTATTATAACCCCTCCAAAAAAAAAAAAGCATTCTCAATTTGACATTGAACAACAATCGTGGATACATCTCAGTCAATTACTTCCATTTTATAAGTTTTCAAGAGCACTTTTTTTTTCTGAACCTTGAGGGGAAAAAAAATTATGTAATAGGAAATGTTACTTCCCCAATTGCTGACTCAGCTTTTTCCTTTAGTGAATGCAGAGAAGTCAAAGCTGTTTTCCTAATACAATTTGGGAGTTGGGTGACTAAACTAGGTATGCAAAGAGGTTTATGGTAGGAAGCCATGTCCCTTACCTTTTGGTCAAAGGGGTAAATCCATCCTAGCAGGAAATACAATCATCAAAAGTGATAGATAAACTGAAGTTTTACTAGAATAGCAATTCCGATTAGGCACTATTTCTTTCACACTATATGCTGCTTTGTTTAAATTACTCAAGCAATTTAAGAATATTACCAAAAACCAAAGTATGAGAAATTAAAATGAAAAGCAAAAACATTATAGGATTAAATTATTCCTGGTGGCCCAGATTCAAGTTACACAATATGACCTGTATCTATTGCTTTGAACTGTATTTTCCTTTCTTGAGCTGTATACAATGCAACCCACTAGTAAGATTTAAGCAAAAGGTTTTTCCCCCCCATGGATTCTCTCAACAATCCAAGGTATAGACACAGCTTAGGTTCACCTGAGTGTTATGGTACATGTACCTTCACTTTTTTCTGGTAGAGGACACAGCCTTAAGCTCTGAAACCGTGCTTCTTAGGGATAAGCTAGACAAGAGGACCTACCGAGATACCGCTCAATTCTGTCACTCTATGATTCTGTGAATACAACTGGGGGTGGGGGGAGGGGAGGGGCAGTTGTCTCGTGGGACTGGACTGAGGAATTGATCTCAGGATTATGGCCTTGTGCCCCAGAACAGAAACTCTACAAAGTATCTACCTTCCTTCCAACTATTTTTTTAAAATGGCTAATTGGCGCATTTCCCCCCCCCCCCCCCCCGTGTCATAAGCTTCAGAACAGAAATATATATTACTCAGCACTTCATAGAAACCAGACTAAGGGATTATCTACAATTTGTCTTTGTTTTTAAAGCTTAAAGATAAAGGAAAAATTAAAACAAAGCAAAACAAAGCACTGGGTCTCCAGCAAAGCAGAACTGTAATTCCTCTTTCCTCAGCATTCAGTAGGCATTTAATAAATGTCTGTTGTCTTAAATTGAACTGAACTACCTACTTAGTATTATATATTCCCTCATAAATTTGTACTACACGGCTCTTTAAGTAAAATAATTCCTTAATAATAAATCTGAACCCCAAATCCCCAAATTATACAGATTGTGTTAACTCCTCAAAATTAATCAAAAACTGTCTAGTTGGTGTGTAGTAAATGCTTATTGACTGACTGACTTACTGATTGCATAAAGAAACCTTGTGGAGGTAGAATGAGGAAACAGCCCTGGGCTTGAACTCAGAGGACATTGGTTCAAATCCCACTATTTCTTTCATTCTATATGCTGCTTTGTTTAAATTGCACTACTAATGTAGTGTGAGGGTAGCAAGTCAATTAAACTCTCTGGGCCTCAGGGGGTTCAACTAGCTGATTTCCATCATCCTTATCAACTTAAATGTTATTATTCATTTTTATTATTATTTTGGTACTTGATAAGCCACATTGCTATCAGTGGCATAATGCAGAATATGCCATAGCAGAGTGAGTTGGTGGAAAGAACACTAGATTTGGGGTCCAAGATACAGGTTCAGATTTTGACTCTGCTAACCATGTGACCTTGGGCAAGCATCTTTACCTTTGTGACCCTCAGTCTCTATGTCAGTAAAACATGAGGGTCCTAACTAGATCCTAATTCTCCTTGGCATCCAGTCATACGAATGTTTCCTAATCCTGTGAAATGCATTCCTATATCACAGCCAACAGAAATTGCCCAATGGCTCTTCACAGTTTGAGGTCACTTCCAGTTATTTTATTGCGCATACTTTAATCTGACTTAAGTTAAATACTAGAATACAAATGGGTAGTCAGGAGATAATTAAAAGAAAACTGACTCTGAGAAAGAAAACTGGAAAATAATTCTGGAAGACAGAATCCAATATCAGAAAACTGAAGAAGATAACTTCCCCTCCAATTCCTAGGACTTTCTCATGAATTTAGTTTTCCTGTGCATAGATGGAGGGGATGAAGTAGTTCTAGATGAAATTTGGAGGCTTAAACCTTGGGGAGGGGCTAAATTTCATTGATTTTTTTAATTAGTTGCATACCTGAGAAAGTGAATTTCTTCCCTTTCCCACTGGGACCATTCAGAGGTCCATGATTTTATTACCATTTGTACCTTCTATTAACCCACCCCCAAACCTCACCCTCAATGAGTGAGTAGTGATTCTTGTAATAAAAGACTCCAGTTAACATTGTTATTGTTACTTTTTCAGTAAATAGAGGTTTGTTTGTTTTTTTTCTTATTCCTCGATATAGCTTTCTCTAAAACAAAACCATGGTGGAAAATCCCCCTCCCCCACTCAGGAGTTTCACATTGTACCCTAACTCAATTGAAAACTTCAAATTAAAATATTATTTACTGATCCTCTTCAGTTACCACCAATCAAACATGAGGGAAACAATGTATTTTCACTTTTTAAAATAGTGACCCCGGATGGGCAACAGAAAGCCATGAGGATCCTTTCCATGTATGGAGTGGAATATTTTCAGATATGGCTTTGAAGTCTTGATAAGTTAGTACCTAGGTTTTATCAGAAGAGGAAGAAACACAAAGGTTAATTAACAAAGAAACCTATATTTGAAAGCAGTGTTACTAATGAACTATATAGCTTTGTTCACTGAATTCTCATGAAGAGAAAATTAGCTGTTCTGATGAGCTCTCTGCCATCAAAAGTCACCTTATTTTAGTTGCACTTTTTTGAAATTCCTCAAAAGAGATAAAAATTATTATTCTTTTTCATCTTGATCCCATTTGGGGTTTTCTTGGCAAAGATACTGAAATGGTTTGCCATTTACTTCTCCAGCTCATTTTACAGATGAGGAAACTGAGGCAAACAGGATTGAGTGACTTGCTCAGTATCCCTTAGCTAAATTAAGTTGATTAGTAAGTGTCTGAGGCCAAATTTGAACTCAGGTCTTCCTGACTCCAGACCTGGTGCTCTGTCCACTGCACTACTTAGGTGAGCCTCCAACAGGAGCTCTAGAATTCTATGTTTGGCAGCAGATAAATAGCTAAAATTCTGGCACCGAAAAGTCCAATCATACAAATTGAAAAACCTTCCCCTTTTGCTTTATAATTGTAGCCCTGGTCTACTTTCATCATTTTAGGTAAAGAACATTAAATTTGGACTGAAATTAGATTTTAAAAGTAGCAAAGGTCAAAAGTATCACAGGGGTCATCTCTAAGTGATGTACGATAGTGACTCATGTACTCTTCCAAGTCACTGTTGTCAATTAATTGGCCTTTGCTTAATGCCTACTAGATCCAGGGCATTATCACAACTCCTTTCAATGGGCAATGTCCTGTAAGTGTCAGCCAGACTTTCTTTGCGCCTGGCTGAGTGATGTTTGAGGAAGAGCCACGTTGGGTTCTAATAGCAGGTGCCTGTCCAGGGCACTCCAGTCATGTCTGTGGCCAGAGTCCCCCACCCCAAATTCCTCGTGTCCTCTGAATGTCTACTGGAGCTGAGAAATAGTGAACTTTCAACTAGACATGTGCAACTATAAGAGGTATTGGATTTGTATTCAGTCTCTGCAACACTACCCTGCTCCTTATATAATAACTGCAGAGTAGGAATCCTGTGGTGCAGAGAACAGATCAAAAGGAGGGAAGGGGATTTAATAATGCATGACCACAAGCCATTCACAGAGCCAAACGGTTAAAATGAGAACCACTGCACCATCCTTTTCCCCCACCCTCAAATCTATTTTTCAAACCTATCTAACTCCCGTTAAGAGCAGCCTTACAAGCAGTTCAGTAGTCCCT